GACCCCATTCCTAGAGCTAACATGTGAAATTAACTCTTTTCCTCATTATTTCCACTATTTCTTAAATTTTATATATTAATATGCTATAATTTAAATAAGGGTTACACTTGTATGAGACTGTCTCGCTGATCATTATCTGTGAGATGAGTTCGACTTGTGTCGGGTCAATATAAAAATGTAATACTTATACTTAAAAATATATTTAATACTATGAATAAAATGTTTGTTACTTATAAGGAAAGTGCATGTAATACTTTTGAGGACAAATGTAATACTTTTATGGGCTGTTTGGTTTACGGAATATGCCTGGAATGGCATAGCATTCCAGTAATAGGCCTATTCCTGTGTTTGGTAACTACTTGTATTCCCAGGAACATTGTTCCCGGGAATGACATATTTCCCTTGCAAGAGGAATAGAGATTCTCAGGGGGGCCCCTGGTATTAGGCTATTCCTGAGTTCTCAGGAATAGCCTAAAGTTTCTATTTCCTATTTTACCCCAATCAAATTTATTTCATATTTCACCACCGTCACCACCATCGCCATCGCCGTCATCGTCGTCGCCGCCACCGCCACCACCACCACCACCACAGCACCGCCACCACTGCCACCACCGCCACCAACATCACCACCACCACCGTCGCCGCTGCCATCGCCACCGCCACCGCCACCACCCCACTACCGCCACCGCCACCAACACCACCACCCCAGCAGCACCACCGCCACCGCCCACCACCGCCACAACCGCCGGCACCACCACCCCACCACCACCACCATCACCACCGTCGCCGCCACCAACGCCACTGCCACCACCACCACATATTTTTATAAGGGTATTTATGTCTTTTGAAACATATTTCATTTCTATTCCTTAAATCAACCAAACACTGTAATATAATTCCTAAAGTATATTCCTTCTGCGAACCAAACAACATAATACAATTCCTATTCTATTCCTTGCCTATTCTATTCCTTATGGAATAACATTCATGTTACCTCAAAATTCATTCTGTGAACCAAACATGCTGTTACTGTTTTACATTTTGATATAAAAGTATTTTTTTATCAAAATTATTACATTTCCCTTATGAGTAATGTTGACAAGTGTTTGTTACTTATAAAGGAAAATGTAAGGTGGAGCTGTTTACTTCATTTCTCTGTTTTTTCATTTTCAGTTTTTCTTTTCTCCAATTTTCCATTCTTCATTTCTCCAATTCTCTAATTTTCATTCCCTATTCCTCCAATTTTTCATTTATCTAGTTTTCTAATTTCATTAAATACAATCATCCTATATAGTTTTTGTCCATTTATACAACAACAACAACAACAACAACAATAATAATAATAATAATAATAATTGTGAAAAAAGTAAGTGACATAAAAAGTGAGTAAATGTTATTATTATTATTTTTTGGAATTATTATTATTATTATTATTATTATTATTATTATTATTATTATTATTATTATTATTATTATTATTATTATTATATGTTGTGTTATGTAAAAATAAATTCTAAAGTAATGATCGACACCCATGTCGATCATACTCATATATATAATTATGTATTTCATACATTATTACACAGAGTATAATTAGAAATCATTATCAATAATAATCACAATAATGTGTGGTATATATAATGATATTGTACGGTTAGTTAATATGTCGACTAACATTGTAAATTTTCTCTACTACATCGGCCCATCAACTCAAGTTTTCTGGCTCCCCTTGTTGGTTGCTATAATTTTTGTAACCTAAATTTATATATGTGGAATGTATTTGTTTCTTTGGATTTTAATTTGAAATTCAGTAAATATTATATATTATATTAAATAGAAAAAAAAAAAAGAATTGATGTTGAGGTATAATGTTTTAAATAATTTGTATATGTGACTAATAACCAACACAATATGGTCTTGTTACACAACATACACTTTTCTTATTAAAATGTCGAATTCTAAAAGTTTGAATTTTTTTTTATACATAATTGGATATCATTTTTATACAACATATTTTTTTGATATTAAATTGTTTAGATATAATTATCACAAAACATAAATATTGCTTCTGTGTTTTTTTGGGTACAACACGCCCCAATATCAAAATATGCATTGTATCAAATTGAAGGATATCTTTTATGTATTTCAAATATGCATTGTATCAAATTGAAGTATATCTTTCAACTAATTAAAGTTTAAACATAGTTATTATTATTATTATTATTATTATTATTATTATTATTATTATTATTATTATTATTATTATTATTATTATTATTATTATATACATATATGTATATGTACTTTTAGATCTCAAATTATAGGATATGATAATAGTGAATTCAATCACTATGTTATAATTGCATGTCATTACTTTTAATCTTTGAGTTATTTCGAGATGATGCTTTCAATCTCTCCACTATATATTTTGTTAAAACTTACTATTGCAGTCCGTTTGGTTCGCTGGAAAATATTTGAAAGGAAATGAAATTAAAATTTCATAGAAAATATATTTCATTGTTTGGTTGGTGGAAAAGAAATTATTGGGAACATAAATTTCATTGTTTGATTTGATTTGTAATTATAAGGAATAATGGGTATAAAGACAATTATACCCCTACACAACAATAATAACAATAACAATAATAATAATAATAATAATAATAATAATAATAATAATAATAATAATAATAATAATAATAATAATGGTAATTAAAAAAAGTTAGTGAGTGTATAATTGTCCTTATTGTTTTTCATGAAAAATAAAATACCAAGAGGGGCCCCAAAAAAATGTTTTCCATCCAACCAAAAATCGAAATTTTCCTCAATGCTACTAGCTCTATTACATTGTAGTATCTATTCATATACTTTCTCAACCTACTGAAACACAAAGAGCTAATAACGCCTCCACTGAGGCTTGAACTCACAACCTTCCTAATGAAAGTCCAACCCGGGTACCATTGGACCACATAGTCCTAGTTTTTAGAAATGTTAGTTATTCATGGCTATAATGAAATTTCAAAGTTAATACCTCCAATAGTCCTCCGAGTATTAGCGATTTACCAGCTGTGGTCATCCGAATATTAAATGACATCCAATGATCTTTCATGTTTTAAAAAATAACCACCCGTGGTCCTATTTTTTTTTTTTTTTTTAAAAAAAATCGAGTTTAAAATGACCACGAGACGTCCTAAAAGACCATTGAAATATGAAAGACCATTGAATGTCATTTAAAACTCAGATAACCACAACTGGTAAATCGCTAATACCCGTAGGAGCATTGAAAGTATTAACTCTAAAATTTCACTTCCTCTTTCTTTTCTTTTCCCCAAATCGTTGTCCAACTCCAATATAATGGTGGCCAGTGATTTATATTTTTTTGCTATTAAGTCAAGGAAATTAAAAATAAAAAAATTCAATATAATAAATATTTTTTGCCATCCACTAAATCAGAGTTGAAATACGATTTAGGATGTAAAAATTTTATCACTAATTTTGAAAAAGCAATAATAAATTTTGACAAATCTAATAACAAAGACACAAAAATGTCACATTAGTGACAACTCAAAATATAAAAAACGTAACATCCATAATATATACATATAGACTAAATCTGTACATTATTATTAATTTATTATTTAACTTGGGATTCAAAAGTGTAATTTTAAAAAATATATATATTTTACAATTAGATATAAAGTGCCCCAAACGAAAGTTATCGTCAATGTTAGATAAAGATAGGTGGTAGCAATGATATAAGAAGAAAAGGAATCAGTAACACAAAATTTGCCATTTGGTACCACTGTAGAATAAGATACAAACAAGCCACGTTTGCAAAACTAATTTAAGAAACTTTTGAAACTAACAAACAACTCTTTACCTGCAACTATACTTAGCAATACATATATATGTTATATATACCATTATTATGTTATTAATCATTGGACCCACGTTAGGGGTATCTAACCACCCAACCACTTACAATTTTAAAGACAATTAAAATAATGAGAATAGGTGCAAGAAAACGTACAGATATATGTCTACAGCTGCATGAGACAAGATTAGCTAGATAATTATCACGCATAAAAAGCCAATCCGATGCTGAATTCTAAACAAACACGTAATTTAATTTTTTTTAATCACCGTAAGATTAGTTCAGATTTAACTTGGACAATGTTTCCACAAAGTTTAGAGCAAAACCTCCGACTTTGTGTTTGCACTAACAATCTAACTTTTTAAAATTTGACCTGAATCTCACGGTAATAAAATTTAGCTCTTACTTGACTCTTTATATTACAAATAATTGGTTTTTTTGACTATACAATTACATACTTAAATCATCATCATCATTATTATTATTTTAAACTTAAGTGATCTCAGTTTTCACTATTAGAATTTTTCAATTTTTTGACCACTTTTCCAACCACCCACAAATTCGTCGAACTAATCCTGAGTTCACGAGATCCAATCCCTAGAGCCGCAGCAAAGGTAAATTGGGAGTCGCGCAATCAGCCCACCGGTCAGATTAAGGGCCGATTTTTGGCCTGTGCATAATGCTCAATAGCACAGGGCCTCAATTTTAGAGGGTTATATCTCTTTTTGACCTAATTGCTTAAAAAAAAATTAAAATTAAAATTAAGCCGACATTCCTTCACACCTCTTTCTATCTTTGCATAAAACTTATCAATTTTTTTCTCCAAATCAAGATTTTCTTTCCTCCATTAATTTTACAACTTTCCCCTAAATTTCTTTGATTACCAAAGTTGCAATTCAATTTTCATCACTTCTCTCTCTTAATTAATTGAGCATGATTATAATTTTGGTAAGGTATCATTTATTTCTAAGAATGGTGCCATAAAAATTCAAAAAATAATCTTGATCAGATCTTTATATTCATGTACACACAATAAATCCAATCAAGACCTTCCATTATTACTCCGCTTAGCAATTGACTCAATCTCCTAGGTTAAGTTTTTAAATTACTTATTATTATTTAAAAGATCACTTACGTATAGTATAAAAAAAGAGGTGGAGTTGGGTTAGCTAGTTAGAGTTATTCATTATATTCATCACAAGATTCCATCGTTTTGCAGACATGAAGAAAAGAGAAGACGACGAAGAAGAAGAAGATCGTCAAGAAAGTGACGGCGGCGATCGGACGGCGGCTGTGATTAATGTGTGGGACTGCGGGAGCCCCTTGTATGATTCTTTCGAGCTTGTTTCGGTTGCGCATCTCATCGAGCGGAACATGAGGGCCCTGCCGCCGTCGCCGCCGTCGTCCGGCAGATCGTCGGCGGCGGAAATGGATAACAGGTATAGGGGATTGTTGGCGAGAAGATCCGGTGACCGGAAAAGGAAGAGTGAAGAGAGTACGGCGCCTAAGGTGCGGAAGCTTAAGAGTGGGTTTTATAGCTTTTTTGCTACTGTTGGGTTGATTAAGAAATAAGAGAATTATTAGTTTGGGAAGAAGAAATAAGAGAATTATGAAAGATTTGTAATGGATAAATTCAAGATCGATCTACTTCATAATTTTTAAGTTTAATGCCTTTAGTATTTTAACGTATTTTTTCATAATTAATTATAATTGCATTTCCAGTTTCAGCTCTGCTGTTTAAGATGTTCTTAAATGCATAGGATTAAATTCATCATCATGAGATCAGGGACAGAACTAGGGATTGGATGCCCCAGCCCCAAACTTTTTTGAATTTTTTATTTATTACTCTTAAAAGTTTTTGTTTTTAAATTTATATATATATATATATATATATATATATATATATATATATATATATTACAGGACAGGACCAATTTTTAGATTTTTGTGGTCCCATTGCTGTAAATAAATGAGGTCCTACCAAAAGCGCAATCTTTAAAATCAATACCAAAATTTTTTCTAATAATAATAAGGTGGTAAAATATTTGTCTACGCAAAGAAAAAAACAAAAGACATATTATGAAATAAATTACAATTATAACAACAACAACAACAACAATAATAATAATAATAATAATAATAATAAAGAGAAATGCAAAAGGATTTAAAAAAAAAAAAAAAAAAAGGTGTGCACAAAGCAAAATGATTAAAAAAAAAAGAGAAGATATGCACAAAGCTAGAGCAGTAGGCAGGATTCAAGATAAACACTATAGACACGCGTTTTTACAGTTTCCCTATGGAGTCTTTTAAGATTAATTACAATTGCTTTGTTTTTTTTTTTTTTTAAATTTCTTAATTAACTAGGTAAAAATTAAATATTGGACCCTCTAAAATTTGAAGACATATGTTATTTGTCAGCTTGCACTGCCTAAAATTCGGCCCTGCTACGGGGTATATAAATATTAATGTTTAAATTATTGTAACTAATTTAAACAATAATTTAATGCATTATGCACCCGGTGCACCATATAATTTGCGGTATAACAACTGCATATATAATGGACAAATTATATCGTGCACCGCGGTGCATAATCGAATGCAACGCGCATCAAAACGACGTCGTTTTATTTAATGAAAAGAAACGGAATCTGTTCCGCAAAAAATAACTCTGTTCTTCAGTTTCATTTTGTATACACTGCAGTTTCAGTTCAACACAACTACAGTTTCATTTCGATATAACTACAATTTCATTCAATATTTATACACTCAAATATGTGAAAATGTTATTTAATTTTATTTTATATACACTATAGTTTCATTAAAACACAACTACATGATCATTTTGATATAATTACAACTTCATTGTACAATATACACTCAAATATATGAAATGTTATTCAGTGTTATTTTATATATATTGCAGTTTCATTTCACCATAACTACAGTATCATTTTGATATAACTGCAGTTTCATATGATAATATAAAAATAATTGTGAGGCAGTGTCAGTTTAGATACATTGTAGTGTCACTCCGTTAACACTAACAGCGCGCCGTTTCTTTACTTAAAGAAATTGTGCCGTTTTGATGCGCGGTGCATAATCCACGATATAACGACCGTATATAATGCTATATTGCTATGATTAGTGTAGCTGTTATGTCTGTTTTTTCACGTGTGTGTAATGGGCTTGGGCTTTGGCTCATGGAAATGTTAATGCAGATCAAGCCCATTATTGGTTTTGGGTCTAGAGAATTTAAGCCCAACTCTACTTTGTTCAATCGTTATGCTGTGCAATCGTTATGCGTTGGACCCGTGTCCAGCATGCTTGCTGGACACGGGTAACAGTGCTGTTAGGCACTGTTATCTCCTCTTTTTTTTTCTTTTTTTTTTTTTTAAAAAAAAAAATTTCAGACCGCTTCATTGTAAGAGTATATGTTCATAATTTTATTACTATATGTTAATAACTATACATTCATAATTCCATAACTGTACGTTCATAACTCTATAACTGTACATTCATAACTCCATAACTGTACATTCATAACTCCATAACTGTACATTCATAACTCCATAATTGTACATTCATAATTTTCAAAGCTCTATGTTCACAATTTTAGAGCTCTATGTTCATAATTTTATCACTATATGTTCATAATTGTAAGTTCATAATGTTAGAGCTCTTTGTTCATAATTTGATCAATAACTGTACATTCATAATTCCATACTGTAGATTCATAATCTCATAACTGTAGATTCATAACTCCATAACTGTAGATTCATAACTCTATAACTGTACATTCATAACTCCATAACTGTACATTCATAATCTTCGAAGCTCTATATTCACAATTTTAAAGCTCCATGGTCATAATTTTATCACTATATATGTTCATAATTGTAAGTTCATAATGTTAGAGCTCTGTGTTCATAATTTCATAATTGCATAACTGTATATTCATAACGGCATAACTATACATTCATAACGGCATAACTGTACATTCATAATCCAAAAAAAAAAAAAAAAAAAAAAAATAACGCCGTTAACGGCAAAACGCGCGCGATTTTTTTTTTTTTTTTTTTTTTAACTAAATGACGCGTTTTTTTTTAAAAAACGACGTCGTTTTGGGCCCGTGTCCACAATTCAATGTGGACACGGGTCCAGGGCATAATTTGCCTATGCTGTGGAACCGTGTCCATCTTGCAAGGTTGACACGGTTTTATGTTCATAATTACTTAATTATATGTTCATAATTATAAACCTATATATTCATAATTTTTGAACTTCATATACATAATTATTAAACTCTATATTCACAATTACAAAATTCTATGTTCATAATTACTGAACTATATGTTCATAATTATAAAGCTGTATATTCATAATTTTTGAACATTATATTCACAATTATTGAATCTCTATATTTATAATTACAGAACTATATATTATAATTATATTCACAACTCTATGTTCATAATTTTTAAACAATATATTCATAATTATGAGCAGTTTTAAAACCACAAGACGGACACGGTTCGACAGTATAATTTGCCTGCTTTGTCCAATAATTATATCATGGACCAATGTGCATGTAGTCAATTGTTATACAGTTGACCAATGCCTAATATAGTGCCTTTCAAAAAAAAAAAAAATTGACAAATGCCTAATATAGTGCCTTTAAAAAAGGGGGGGAGGGGGGGGAGCTGTTATCGTGAGCTTATGACGTATCACGTTACAAATATGCATATTGTCAAATTAATTTTTAGTAACATTAAACATATAGTTTAGTGGTACTACAATTAACCTATTGTATGTATAAAATGAAACTGAATAGTAGAGCTCATACATATATGTATATTGTTATATGAACTTATAGTAGAATTAAAATAATACTTTAATGTTGCTACAATGAACTTATTGTGTATATAAAATGAAACTGGATAGCAAAGAAATACACGGCAATTAAAATGATACTTTAACGTTATTATAATGAATTAATGTGTGTGAAAAATAAAACTAAAAAATATAGCTCATACAACAATAACAAATTTTTTTTCTAAAATTAGAATCAAACAATGTCATTTTACTCCATGGTCCATATAGTAAAATTTGCCACATGTAGCAATGTGCACCCAATTCATCTCTATTTTTTCGAACTTAAATTATTTTTGTTATATACAAATAAATTTAAGGGAAAATGGCACTTTTCCCCCCTGTGTTATATACTTATAGCACTTTTTCCCCCTATATTATTTAAGTGGCAATTTCCCCCCCTGATATATTAAATGGACATATTTACCCTTAAAATAAATATTTCATTTATTTTACTTCTCCAACAAATTATAACCACAATTTGAAAAAATAAAATACATTAATTGTTGAATTTAGAATACTTTAAAAATAAAAAAAATAAAATTTTAAAATAATGTTTGAACCAACAGTTCAAATTGGATCCGAAATTGTGAAACAATGATTCAAAATAAAAACCAAATCGCGATTATATATACTTATATGTGAGAGTCAATATAAATGCGAAAAAAACATACACTATTTGCAAATATTATAATTCTAATTTTAAGCTATTGCTAGTAGTTGTTCCGATTTGAACCTCTGGTTCACGGTTCAGAATCTATTTTTTTCCACTTAACAATTTTAATAAACGGAAACCCAAATATTGGGTTATGTTATGAATCATAACCGAATTTTTTTTTATTTGATTGCTATAGTGTTCGGTTCAGTTCGAACCGAACCGTGGCCATCCCTACGTATAAACAATAATTTGTTGAACAAGAGAAATAAATAAAATATGTATTTTAAGGGTAAAAATGTCTATTTAATATTATCAGGGGGAAAAACCGCCACTTTTATAATAATTGAGGGGGCAAATGTGGATGCATGAATAACTCAGGGGGAAAAAGTGCTATAAGCATATAACATAGGGGGAAAAAGTGCCATTTTCCCTAAATTTAATGTACAAAAAAAATAAATCATTAAAAAAATTTAATTGAGATCTGTTAAATGCACCCAATTCATCTCTATTGTTTCAAACTTAAATTCATTTATATATATATATATATATATATATATACAAATAAAAATAATGTATAAAAATATATTTGAGATCTTTTAAATGACACACATATAATAATAATAATAATAATAATAATAATAATAATAATAATAATAATAATAAACATTATGAACATAGTACAGAGTGAACGTAAATAGATATGATGTACATACAGTTTAGTATTTATGTAGATTAAGATTTAAATTTATGATTATATAGAACAAATATTATAAACATAGTATATGATTAATATTATTAAACATCGTCTGTAGTGCATGTAATATTTATATACATTAAACTTTATTTTTATGACCATATAGAAACAACATTATGAGCCTACTATATAGTGAATGAAAGTATATATGATATATGTACATGCAATTTAATATTTATATATACATTAAGGTTTAATTAAGTTTATGAACATATATAACAAATAGTATGAATATAGTACAAGATTATTAAATATAATGTTCTAATTGACACTTAACATAAAATGATGTCATTTTAGATCATGATTTATTATACAAGGTGTATTTTGATTCACGATATAATTTAAGTGATATATATGTTAGACCAACTATTTAACGAGTAATGATGACAACAATTTGC